TGGAGTCATGGCACGACCATATTAAGGTGGCACTACAACAACTGAAGTAGTCATAACAAGCAAATGAATTTCCATATCTGTAATGGTTTTATCCTGGAAGCTGCTGTAGTCCTCATTGCTGGTTTTTAAGTGCTTGAGCAGAACTACTGTAACTTGTGTGGTAATGTGATGTTAGACTGCATCATAATAGAGACTGCTGTATCCAGACCAATTCTTTTCTGTCAGCTTCACTGTGATGTGTTCAAACAAACTTGTCCTGAACTGGAATTAATTAATTTCCTTATATCCTCATTTAATTCTAGTAGACTCATTCAAGTTTTTGAGGGGAACTGGATTTTATGGCAGATTTCACAGGCTATAGTTTAACTGTAGGGCATCTTCTTTATGATTCATAAATTCCAAATCACAAGCTTGATTACAATTTTTTTAAACTGGAAATTATATAGAGTTATGGTTAAATCTAATTTGTGATATGGTGTTTAATCAGCACTGACCTTCTTCTAAATCACATACAGTAGGTAAACTCCTTGCTCTTTAGGAATGCCATCCTTCAGATCTGGAGCACTTTTTTAGAGTGTTTGGCATTTGTTCTGGCACTGTAATTTCTTAGTATCTCAACAATAACCAAACTACCTGTGTATCCCAGCAAAGTCTAGACTCCACATCTAATGCCACATCAATAACAAACAACTACTGCCAAATATGGTTAAGAAAGAATACAAAAAGAAACTTACTTGCAGATGCCACTATTCTATTCTAGTAGAACAAAATAAAGCCAGAACTGTTGCCCTTTAGCTTCTCTGGTGCACTTCCCTGCATCTTAAAGCTTATGTCCCCAAATCCAGTTATTCTTATAATACCCTCAATTAGGAAACATGGAAAAACTTAAAACTTAATATAGCCAGACCACAGAAAGACACTGAGCTCTGTAAGGGTGTCAAGAGTATGAATTGCTATATTAGCAAGCAACAGGTAGAAAACCCTGTAAAAACAAGGGCAATCTTGGCACAGTCCATACTCTATGCCCCACCATGACCTTGGAGTACACAGGAAGGGGGATATAAAACAGAGCTCAAACACCCATGGTGATCAGAATAAGAGTGGAGAATATAGTTTAGGACAGCCACACAGAAAACACAGAAAAAGGATTTTTGTCGGGGAGACGTGTGTCTTTCTGGTGATTTTTTTCTGAACCATGTCTTTCTTATATGTATTTACTGTAGTTCCGACTTTGAAAATACCTGTGAAACCGGTTTAATTCGTCACAGCCAGCATTCTGGCAGAAAGGGGGTTGTACTTGTAAAGTAGAAGCAGGCGAGATTTCCAGCGAAAGACACCTCCCCCCCCCATACTATTCAAATTGTACTACAGCATTGTAATTACACATTGTAATTGTATTACACATTGTACACATGCTTAAAAGAAAAGAGAGAAAACGCAAGCCTTCTTCAGGTGTGAGGGTCTTCTGCTCAGAATGAAACGCTAAAATGTAATGTAGGTTCTGAATGGGTTCAATTATGATTTGGGCTTGATTAAGGTCGCTGCCTTTCATCTAAAACCCTACTTGAATCCTTCTAAACTAAAAATCAGTGTTAGTGAGTTCTAAATAAAGAGGTATCCAGGTAACAGTGAAACGGGCGGACAGTCTGGGGAGATCGCCCGTTTTCCATGTAAATAGTTCCCTGGTTCCGCACCCCTTGGTGTTTCTCTCGCTCTCTCTCGGGTCACCTGATCATTAGCTCAAAAGATTTCAGTGCTTTGTGTATTGTAACGCAACGGGGGCTCAGGCGGGCTCCCTTGCCGCATCTGGTCGTCCCCATCCCAACTGGAGGCTCGAACCCGGGACTTCCACGTCTCTCTGCAGCGACCTAGCCCCGTGAGCTAAAGAGAGATCTCTCTTTATTGGTTAAATGCAATGATCACAAGCACCACCATGGTAACTGGGATGTGTAGTTTTTAATTCCGTTTGAATTATAACTGTACGTACTGTCTTCATATTTGGCCAGGACTTTAAAGAGAAGGCGCGCCAAAAAATGTCGGTGCCGTCATCTCCGCTTTAAAGGTACCCCCGTGCTGGAAGAATTTGACCTCGGAACGTTTGCCCAGTGGACATAAAAACAAGAGTTCGCTGGCATTATATCCAAGAAGACACAGACCAGCGCCAGACCGGTAAATGCCTGATGAACTAGGGATTGGACAGTTTCCAAGTGCTTGTACAATCGATTGAAATGTTCAAATAAATGTGCAAAAGATATAAACAAAATAATCATTTATTTCTTTATCATATTGGCTAGCTAATGTCCTCTCTTTGCTAGTTAGTGGCTGTGTTTCTGCGTTGGGTAGCAACGGGTGACTGTTCTCAGGCGGAAGATGTAAACAGCTTAATTTTCGTGTTAAATAATTTAAAAAAATTAAAATTCATTCTATACAGCAATCACATATTTGGGTACCGTTTAATAAAACTTTCATGCTTAAAATGTTTAGGGAGAATTGGAAGACTGGTGTGTATTTTTTCTTTAAACTATCAAGACCAGCCATACACAGAACAGTTTATGTACATTAAGTGATTAAATCTTTTCACTACCAACCAATGCACCACGAGTGCCCCTGTCAGTCATTTTGGCCAGCCAATCACTTACCGTGGTGCCCTGCGGGTAGGTTACTGTACCGCAGGTTTTTACCGCTCATTTTGAATGGCTCCATCTGTAAAAAATACACACCAGTATTCCACTTTCTTCCTAAATATTTTAAGCATCAAAGTCTTTCATTCGGTTACATACTGTGGTAATTATGGAAAAGTTTTTATGTACTCCTTCTGACTGTATTAAGTTAATATACTTCATAAAAAGTTAAAATGTTAAATTCGGGGGTGATCTGTCACTGTTTTTACAAACTTCAATTTATTAAACATCTATTTTTGAGACAGAGTGTTCCAGACCTGTTTAATTTCTGAAACTCCCTGTTACGATCCCTGCCTCCCGGCTACGGAAGAGGCAGAAGAAGGCGTAGCCTTACTCCATCAGTTTACCTATCAGTTTTCTTATTCACCACCACACCCCCGTCTCATCCTATACTTAAACACCTGTCTTTTCCTACCTCCTCGCTCAGTATTGGTTTTCCTTTCCAGCTTCCTAGTTGCACTACTTCTTCTTCTACCTTGTGTCCTTCTTGGTTTTCGGTTTACGTTTTTTTCCCCTTTTGACGATGGTTTTTCGGATCACGGCTTGGCTTCGGTACTCACGCTCTGTTTTGGATCTCTGGCTTCCCCTGGACTATCGGATTGCTCTATTGTCTATGGTTTCGGATCACTCTTTGGCTTCGGTAACTCGTTCCCTTTTGGATCTCTGGCTTCCCCTGGACTCTCGGCTCGTTTCTTCGACTACGGCTTTCTTTGGATCACGGCTAGGCTTTATCAGCTCCTGCAAGTGGGTTCATTCACTGGTTTCGGTTTCTCTTACCGAATCCGTAACACTCCCTCTGTATTCCATTGTTAACCTTTTCTATGAATACTTGCGCTATTTATCATAGTAAAAAACCTAAAACTTTTTAGAATCTGGGTGTGGGGTGTGGTGTGTTAAAACAAACTCTGCTTAACAGAGTCACTTGTAAGAGCCAGGTGACTTTCTGCTACTATAAAGCTATTGTATAGACAGATATTAAATTCTTCAAGCATAATTAGCTTTTTGTCATAATCTGCTACTTTGAAAGCAGTACACAACTTGTCAAATGTACTTTTTGTCCTTGTGCAAACTCAACAAAGGTTTATTTTTTATAATTCTGAAATTTGAACACTATGCCTTAGGGACTCATTATAGTAACATAGAAATATGGTTGCTGCAGGAAAATCAAAATACCACCACCCCCTCCCAGCCGGGTCTGTGTGAAATATCTTTTCTTACTCCAGTTATTAATCCAATCTATTTTTACTCATCCAGCTGTGTAAAATATATAGCCAAAAGGATAGCTATAAAGGTTAAATTCCAAGCTGAAAAGACTCAATGTGTCTTCTCTAACTCTTCAGTTTACAGCTTGTTCATGGTCATTCATTATTAATAGTGTAACAAACAGTAGGCATACAGATTGTACAAGCCGGTTGCAGCACGGTGACAGTACAGTCCTCAGCTCCCCTGCACATAACAGGGCTGCTGAAGTGCTGATGTGCTGGGACTGAAAGAGGTCTTCTGTAGCTCAGCTGGATAAACCTCTATTAAACAACACAGGAGAGACACATCATGTTCACAATAAGATATAATAGTAGACTATTTTATGTGTTCAGCTCTATGAGAAACAGACCAAAAGTAATGCTCTGATCACGCTTTGAACCACCTTGGTGCAGCTCGCTACATTACAGTGCTCATTACCACTACAAGGACAATAGAATTTTTTTTGGAAAGAAACAAATGTCAAAATGTTTCCTAAATGTCCAGTTGTGTAACTTTAGTTGCTTATGTAAGTTACCCAATTAAGTTACCATGTTAAAGACTTTGATGCATGAAATATTTATGATTAAGGTGGAAAGTTGTGTACTTTTGTTCAGCTTTTGTCTTGCTTTTATTAAAATTACCAACTCTATAATGTTTAATGATTAACATGCTGTAATACACAGTATAAAAATATTAAAAGTCTAAAGAGTATACAACTTAAATTCTTAATTGTAAAAAGATTGTCCCTTAGCAGTGACTGGGATTCGAAACTGGGTGTTTTCTGACAACAGCTCAAATGCCGTACATGAGACATTAAGCTTTATTAGCTCCACCCGGTGGTTTTACAAGGCGCTTTCGGATACTCATTTAACATGCAGTAAGTTGCGGTATATGGCTGGATCTGTATATAAAGGACATATTGAAGTCTTATTCACTATTTTGGATCAAACTACATACTTCATTTATAGGTAAGAAAAAAATTATACCAGAGCAGAGCCAGGTCAATGCTGTAATTATTTTATAAAACAGATAAATGAGTTTGACAATCAACATAAAAAATGATGTTGTCACTCTTACCAGAAGCTCAGACAGGATGGCTGGACACTGTCAATTAATGGGAGGCTGAAGATCCTGAAGCTGCTTGCCCAATTACCAGGATCTCCTGGTGTGACTATGTAGAACCCTGATGATAAAATTCACAACAGAACATGTAAATATATCCAGGCATTAATTAAATACTATGCATAATGCCTGCTTAATGTGTTCAGAAGAAGTCCCTAGTTTACTTTATTACAAAACAATCATGCTTGCACAATAAAAATAAAAATAAAGTTACAATGAGGTTAGCTGGTAGTGAAAGGCAAGAGACACATAAAACAAAGTGATAAAAATTAAAACAATACACACAGAGCGGGCACTGAGCTGTTATGTAAACACCTTGTTGTTACCTATACAACCTTAAAGTGCATAAATCCAGTTAGCAAAGTACATTACATTACCAATCCTAAAAAGAACAACAATAATAATAAACTTTATTTTTAAACAGCACCTTTAAAAGAGTCTTCTCAAAGCACTTTACAGAACAAGAACAAGCAAAAAACAACACATTGAGAGGAGATAGTAGATGGGTATTTGAAATACAGTAGGAAAGTAAAGGGCAGTCAAAGAACCAGTTAAATAAAAGGTAAGATTTTGAGTTTAGACTTGAAAGACCTCAGGGAAAGTTACTCTCTGATATCTTTAGGGACAAAATTCCAGAGCTTTGGTGTATAGCAGGAGAAGGCCCTGTAACCCGTAGAGTGAAGATGGGCTTGGCGGACAGACAAGAGACCTGAATTAGACAGGCAAAGGTGGGGAGTAGCACAATAGTAACTCAGATGGGTACTGAGGTGCCAAACAATTCAGAGCCTTTTAGGTGAGCATCAGGATTTTGAAACCAACATGAAGCCTGACAGAAAGCCAGTGCATGGTCTTCAGGATAGGAGTAATGTGATCACTTGCACTAGACCTGGTCTGAATTCTGGTTGCCAAATTCTGGACAAAGAGGTACCATCATTTTTTCAATGTGGATTTAGATACCCCAGCGAGTAGGGTGTTAGAATCATCAATATGAGAAAAAAATAGTCTTTGGTAACAGTTAGCAACAAAGCATGTTAAAGCAGTAGATAATGCACATTTTCTACACCAATTAACCTAAAGCTCATTACAATGTTATTATGAAGCTATGACGATCCGTTAATCCGAAACCATTACTTCATAATAGTCAAACAGTGATGTGTGGATGATCTTGACTAGCTATAGTGTGGCCAAGGACCTTCTGACTCTATTCTATTGCAACACATCTTTGGATTTCAGCTTCAACTATCCCAAGATAAATCTAATGTGATACAAGATTATCTAGCCTCTCACACCAACGGCTTATCAAAGCTGATGAGCCTTGAAGGTCTTCCTTTTACTTTTACTTCCTTCTGAAGCACTCAGACCACAAAAGAACTCTTATTTCCTATTGTTTTGCAGTTAAAATATGTTCCCTTTCTTCTTCCGTAACAGCACTGCACTATATGTAAATCCCTTGTATTTAGGCCTTTTAACTTGACTCTCGCTGACCTCTAGTGACCACTCTTTGTAACTGTGCCTGAACTGGCATCCAAGATTCTGTACCGTGCTCTGATTCAGACAGCTAATTAAGCACACCATTACTTACAAAAAACTATTCTACTCAGCATGATCTGCTATAGTCTCACAATATGTATTGAATAATGCAAATAATCTATAATACAGATGTCAACCTTAGCCATCAGTATTGACAGGTAATTACGTGTTAAGTAAAAAGTGTTTCATATGGAATTTTCTGTGATTTTGCAGGTGATGTGATGCCAGTTGGTAAGAAACAACGTTTTAGAGCCTTCAGCCCTAAACAATTTTAGCAACATTTCATATTACTATTTTTTAAACCTTTTATTTATTTATTTTTAGAATAAATACCCACACTTCAAAATAGACTCACTATTGCCTCAGAAAATATAGAAATAAAAGACACAAATCTCACTCCTTGCCTCAAACAAATCTTGAGATAAATTAATTAGAGGTAAGAGATACTGTTTGATATTAGGATGTGTGTAGTGATTTCTTGCTACCAGGTAAGTCTGCATACATTCCCAACTTGGAACATTCCCGAATAATGAGCCATTTTCATTCTTTGTGGTGCCACAGAGTCTAGGACAACTGTCAACCTCTCACTTAAGAAGAGATAAGAATTGCAAAGAAACAGCCATAAAAGTATTTGGCTATGCACAAAGTAGGCCTTTTTCATAGCCAATGAGATTTTTCATAGCCATAGAGACATGTTCAAATCAAGAGATTCCTCAACACCAGACACAGTACCATAAATCTGGGGTTGCTACATAGCAAGGAATGTAAGGAAGAACTTTTGTTAAGCTTAAGAAACTGCAACCAAACCTTAAAACCATTCATATATAAACTCTATGTACCTTAAACACCTTGTTTTACCATTCTGTTGATATTAAAGGAAGAAATCTTTACTCAAAACAAACATAACCAACTGCATTAAAGATGCCCTCGGAGGTGGTGACTCGAGACACCGCCAGGTTTTTATCCAGTAGTAGAAACCGGTAGCAGTCACTGTAGTGACTGGGGATAGTGTATGGATAGCTTCAGTTAGAATATTGCTGTGTTCAAGGTTGGCTTCTGGAAGGAAGGAAATGTATTGGGAATGGATGTGCTCGTTGTCATGGAAATTAATATTTTATTGCAGGAAGGAATTTTACATGGTCATGGAGATGCACTATAGATTATACTCGCTTGAATAAAGTGACTCTCAGTCAGTTAGCATAAATAGTGTCTTTGTGTGAAGTGCTACACAAGGGTGAAGGAAAGAGAGTCAGCATTTACACAGACAGCAGATATTCCTTTGGGGTAGTAAATTATTTTTGTCCTATTTGGAAGAAGCATTGCTTAATGGAACTGAAATTTAGCATTCAGAGGCTATACAGAAGATGATTGATGCTTCTTATTTGCCACAAGAGGGGGGCCATAATTAAATTTAAAGCACATCAGAAGGATCTCCAAAGAAGCACACAAAAATAGTGATGAGGCAGCAAGCAGCACTGGAACCTACTCAAAAATTGATTGTTGCCTCTGAAGTCAACATGCAAGACTTAGTACCCTGGTATGAAAAGGAGCATGCTGGCTTCTATTGATTTCACCATCAGCAATGTCAGCTTAATTTTTTGCTCTCTCAGTTGTTTTTTTAAAAAACCAAAACTTCTTCAGAACTGTTAATAATACAATTTAAAAAAAATACTAAGTGTTGGGTAATTGTGGAAAAAGGAGGCAAAGAACACAGAAACACCCAAAGCTACCTGAGAAAGGAAACTGTAGAGGAAAAGGAAGACCAAAGTAGTTCTACCACTGCTCAATGGTTTATAAGGCACCATTCTTGTCAATCTGAAGACCACGAGTTCCCAGTCAGCCTTAAAAAAAATCTTTATAGGACTGACAGACTTCAGAAGACTTCAAAAATCTAAAAAATTATCAGGTTTTACTTAAGAATTGAATAGATTGAATAAAAGGATAAATGGGGTACAGGGGTGCATTCTGCAGACCAAGACGTAGAATGAAAAACAGACTATGTACTTTTACACCTGCTCCAGAGGCAGAACAATCTAGAGGCCAAACTGATGGACATGTGGAGTCCTGGAGGAAAGCAGGAGTGGGTCGATGACCCAGTTCACTGAGAATCTTATCGGGGAGCTGACTGAATTTCCCTCCAACTATGACTTGGAGATTGAAAGGGCTCACAGAGCCCTGGACCCTAAATCCTCAGACCCCCAGTCCAGAACAAGTTACTAGTTACAGCATAAAAAGCCTTGTTAAAAAAGGTATAATAGTCTAAATACTAAGAGCACTAATTAGAACACATGCAGATGCAGCCATTCAAAACAAGCAGGTGATACCGCATTATAATGCGATGCACTTGTCGCAGTGTAACGCAAGTTACCGTATTAATGCCGTATATTCTCGCATAGTTCCGCATGGTACCACAAGTAATATAATAGTATCCGGAATTTTCACAAGGTGGAGCTAATAAAACTCAACCTCTCATGTTTGAGTCATGTTTGAGTGAAGACAGTGAAAACATTTGTAAGTCTGTCCCCCTTCCCCGCACGGACAGACTTACAAATGTTTTCACTGCCTTCACTTTGTCGGGTGTGATTTTTTGGCAAAATACAGGCTGTTAACAGACTGTTTCGCGTTCTTCCTAAGATTGTTGAGCACAGTGTCAAAATGTTTCCATATGAAAGGCAGTGACGTCACCATCTTGTTGTGTTTGTGGCTTAAGCCAAATAGACACCAGCTAGCCTCAGGACAGAGCTGGCAAGCTGGCTCGTCGGTTGTACGCGTTATTGAAGCTGAAAGTTTAGCCTTTGTCACTAACTCCAAGCATTTCATTTTGTCTATTGCTACAATATCAACAGCAGTGTAGTTACAAGGAACATGTCAAAATGTTTCCAAAAGAACCATAATTTAATGAGTTTTGATAATAATAGAGACATAATAGAGTCCCCATTAACCCCATTTTGATTTAAATCACAAACACTTCTTCTAAGTCCCTTAATTAACTTTAATTATAGCTTTCTCACCATTTAGATTTATTTTTTATACCTTCATTAAACAAAGCAGGAGCGTATTGTACTTCCTCATGGGATCAGATTGGAAAGATGTGGAAAGATTAGATTGAAACCATTTTTATTTTTTTTTATAAATTTTAGAAAAGTGTCATCTATACTAAAAAGTTTTATTTATTTAATACCACTTGATAGTTATATTAATAGAGATAATAATTCAAGTTGTATACTGTTTAGACATTTAATCATTTTAAACTGTATTACAGCATCTTACACATTAAACATGAAAAAGTTGGTATATTTTATAAAAGCAAGATTGCTCAGTTGGACAGTATAAACAGTATAAAGCAAGTATGTTTTTTAATGTGTGCAATTGCAATTCTTGCAAGTACAAACACAATATAAGTTGCATTGCTACAGAACCCTAAACCGGGTAATACAGACTAGCCGGATATAGCTGTGTCTGTCTTCTGTGATTTGAACATCATTGGGTGCTGTTTTTAAAAACCTTTTGAGTAAAGAATCTGAATTTTCC